AAGATCAGGGTTGCTTCTTGGTTGCGGTGTTTTACAAAAGTATATTGATGCTAGAAAAGTTCCAAAGAAAATTGGTAGGGTTTCGAGGTGGCAAAATGATGATGACCTTGACAATGTCCTCGACTAAGACCTTCAAGGTCACTTCAAGGGCAAATAAATATTTTGAACGGGAAACCTCCTTTCTTCACATCGGAAATGTAAAGAGTATCAAACTTACGTCCGACCATCAGCTGACCATGACCTTGACCGTTGCTTTCAAGGAAATTTCAAGGTCTAATCAAACGTTAAAAACAATTCGCTATGGTAAAAGTGTCGGCACAGTTATGAGGTTTGTGAAGAGCACCCAAGTGCGTTCTCGAACATGACCTTGACAATGGCCTTCAAGGTTTAGTCAAAATTTCCAAAGGAAGTCCCTCATCCTTTTGCTGGATTTTACGTCCGATTGTGACCTTGATTTGAAAGTCAAGCCATGTCAAGCTTAAACGTGATTTGAGGTGATATTCTGACGTGAACTTTCTTCAAGAAATTTTGACCTTCTCCAAAGATCAGGGTTGTTTCTTGGTTGCGGTGTTTTACAAAAGTATATTGATGCTAGAAAAGTTCCAAAGAAAATTGGTAGGGTTTCGAGGTGGCAAAATGATGATGACCTTGACAATATCCTCGACTAAGATCTTCAAGGTCACTTCAAGGGCAAATAAATAATTTGAACTGGAAACCTCCTTTCTTCACATCGGAAATGTAAAGAGTATCAAAGTTACGTCCGACCATCAGCTGACCATGACCTTGACCGTTGCTTTCAAGGAAATTTCAAGGTCTAGTCAAACGTTAAAAACAATTCGCTATGGTAAAAGTGTCGGCACAGTTATGAGGTTTGTGAAGAGCACCCAAGTGCGTTCTCGACCATGACCTTGACAATGGCCTTCAAGGTTTAGTCAAAATTTCCAAAGGAAGTCCCTCATCCTTTTGCTGGATTTTACGTCCTAAAGTCAAAGCATGTCAGGCTTAACTGTTATTTGAGGTCAAGGTCATATTCTGACGTAAAATTTCTTTAAGAAATTTTGACCTTCTTCAAAGATCAGGGTTGCTTCTTGGTTGCGGTGTTTTACAAAAGCATATTGATGCTAGAAAAGTTTCAAAGAAAATTGGTAGGGTTTCGAGGGTGCAAAATGATGATGACCTTGACAATGTCGTAGACTAAGGCCTCCAAGGTCACTTCAAGGGAACATAAATATTTTGAACTGGAAACCTCCCTTCTTCACATCGGAAATGTAAAGAGTATCAAACTTTACGTCCGACCATCAGCTGGCCCTGATCTTTACCGTTACTTTCAAGGAAATTTCAAGGTCTAATCAAAACGTTAAAAACAATTCGATATGGTAAAAGTATTGGCTCAGTTATGAGGTGTTGAAGAGCACGCAAGGGCGTTCTCGACCATGACATTGACAATGGCCTTCAAGGTTTAGTCAAAATTTCCAAAGTCCCTCATTCTCTTGCTGGATTTTACGTTCGATTGTGACCTTGATTTGAAAGTCAAGCCATGTCAGGCTTAAATGTGATTTGAGGTCATATTCTGACGTGAAAGTTCTTCAAGAAATTTCGACCTTCTCCAAAGATCAGGGATGCTTCTTGGTTGCGGTGTTTTACAAAAGTATATAGATGCTAGAAAAGTTCCAAAGAAAATTGGTAGGGTTTCGAGGTGGCAAAATGATGATGACCTTGACAATGTGCTCGACTAAGACCTTCAAGGTCACTTGAAGGGCAAATAAATATTTTGAAGGGAAGCCTCCCTTCTTCACATCGGAAACGTAAAGAGTATCAAACTTTACGTCCGACCATCAGCTGACCATGACCTTGACTGTTGCTTTCAAGGAAATTTCAAGGTCTAATCAAACGTTAAAAACAACTCGCTATGGTAAAATTGTTGGTACAGTTATGAGGTTTGTGAAGAGCACCCAAGTGCGTTCTCGAACATGACCTTGACAATGGCCTTCAAGGTTTAGTCAAAATTTCCAAAGGAAGTCCCTCATCCTTTTGCTGGATTTTACGTCCGATTGTGACCTTGATTTGAAAGTCAAGCCATGTCAAGCTTAAACGTGATTTGAGGTGATATTCTGACGTGAACTTTCTTCAAGAAATTTTGACCTTCTCCAAAGATCAGGGTTGCTTCTTGGTTGCGGTGTTTTACAAAAGTATATTGATGCTAGAAAAGTTCCAAAGAAAATTGGTAGGGTTTCGAGGTGGCAAAATGATGATGACCTTGACAATGTCCTCAACTAAGACCTTCAAGGTCACTTCAAGGGCAAATAAATATTTTGAACTGGAAACCTCCTTTCTTCACATCGGAAATGTAAAGAGTATCAAACTTACGTCCGACCATCAGCTGACCATGACCTTGACCGTTGCTTTCAAGGAAATTTCAAGGTCTAATCAAACGTTAAAAACAATTCGCTATGGTAAAAGTGTCGGCACAGTTATGAGGTTTGTGAAGAGCACCCAAGTGCGTTCTCGAACATGACCTTGACAATGGCCTTCAAGGCTTAGTTAAAATTTCCAAAGGAAGTCCCTCATTTTTTTGCCGGATTTTACGTCCGATTGTGACCTTGATTTGAAAGTCAAGCCATGTCAAGCCTAAATGTGATTTGAGGTCATATTCTGACGTGAAATTTCTTCAAGAAATTTTGACCTTCTCCAAAGATCAGGGTTGCTTCTTGGTTGCGGTGTTTTACAAAAGTATATTGATGCTAGAAAAGTTTCAAAGAAAATTGGTACGGTTTCGAGGTGGCAAAATGATGATGACCTTGACAATGTCCTCGACTGAGACCTTCAAGGTCACTTCAAGGGCAAGTAAACATTTTGAACTGGAAACCTCCCTTCTTCACATCGGAAATGTAAAGAGTATCAAACTTTACGTCCGACCATCAGCTGACCGTGACCTTGACCGTTGCTTTCAAGGAAATTTCAAGGTCTAATCAAAACGTTAAAAACAATTCGCTATGATAAAAGTATTGGCTCAGTTATGAGGTTTGTGAAGAACACCCAAGTGCGTTCTCGACCATGACCTTGACAATGGCCTTAAAGGTTTAGTCGACATTTCCAAAGGAAGTCCCCCATTTTTTTTTGCTGGATTTTACGTCCTAAAGTCAAAGCAAGTCAAGCTTAACTGTTATTTGAGGTCAAGGTCATATTCTGACGTAAAATTTCTTTAAGAAATTTTGACCTTCTCCAAAGATCAGGGTTGCTTCTTGGTTGCGGTGTTTTACAAAAGTATATTGATGCTAGAAAAGTTTCAAAGAAAATTGGTAGGGTTTCGAGGTGGCAAAATGATGATGATCTTGACAATGTCCTCGACTAAGGCCTTCAAGGTCACTTCAAGGGCAAATAAATATTTTTAACTGGAAACCTCCCTTCTTCACATCGGAAATGTAATGAGTATCAAACTTTACGTCCGACCATCAGCTGACCATGACCTTGAGCGTTGCTTTCTAGGAAATTTCAAGGTCTAGTCAAAACGTTAAAAACAATTCGCCACGGTAAAAGTGTTGGCACAGTTATGAAGTTTGTGAAGAGCACGCAAGACCGTTCTCGACCGTGACCTTGACAAGGGCCTTCAGGGTTAAGTCGACATTTCCAAAGGAAGCTCCCCATTTTTTTTTGCTGGATTTTATGTCCTAAAGTCAAGCCATGTCAAGCTTAACTGATATTTAAGGTCAAGGTCATATTCTGACGTAAAGTTTCTTTAAGAAATTTTGACCTTCTCCAAAGATCAGGGTTGCTTCTTGGTTGCGGTGTTTTATAAAAGTATATTGATGCTAGAAAAGTTTCAAAGAAAATTGGTACGGTTTCGAGGTGGCAAAATGATGATGACCTTGACAATGTCCTCGACTGAGACCTTCAAGGTCACTTCAAGGGCAAGTAAACATTTTGAACTGGAAACCTCCCTTCTTCACATCGGAAATGTAAAGAGTATCAAACTTTACGTCCGACCATCAGCTGACCGTGACCTTGACCGTTGCTTTCAAGGAAATTTCAAGGTCTAATCAAAACGTTAAAAACAATTCGCTATGATAAAAGTATTGGCTCAGTTATGAGGTTTGTGAAGAACACCCAAGTGCGTTCTCGACCATGACCTTGACAATGGCCTTAAAGGTTTAGTCGACATTTCCAAAGGAAGTCCCCCATTTTTTTTTGCTGGATTTTACGTCCTAAAGTCAAAGCAAGTCAAGCTTAACTGTTATTTGAGGTCAAGGTCATATTCTGACGTAAAATTTCTTTAAGAAATTTTGACCTTCTCCAAAGATCAGGGTTGCTTCTTGGTTGCGGTGTTTTACAAAAGTATATTGATGCTAGAAAAGTTTCAAAGAAAATTGGTAGGGTTTCGAGGTGGCAATATGATGACGATCTTGACAATGTCCTCGACTAAGACCTTCAAGGTCACTTCAAGGGCAAATAAATATCTTGAAGGGAAGCTTCCCTTCTTCACATCGGAAATGTAAGGAGTATCAAACTTTACGTCCGACCATCAGCTGACCATGACTTTGACCGTTGCTTTCAAGGAAATTTCAAGCTCTAATCAAAACGTTAAAAACATTTCGCCATGGTAGAAGTGTTGGCACAGTTATGAAGTTTGTGAAGAGCACGCAAGGGCGTTTTCGACCATGACTTTGACAATGGCCTTCAGGGTTTAGTCGACATTTCCAAAGGAAGCCCACATTCTTTTTTGTGGATTTTACGTCCTAAAGTCAAGGCATCTCAAGCTTAACTGTTATTTGAGGTCAAGGTCATATTCTGACGTAAAATTTCTTTAAGAAATTTGGATCTTCTCTCTTGATGCTAGAACAGTTTCAAAGAAAATTGGTAGGGTGCAAAATGATGATGACCTTGACAATGTCGTCGACTAAGGCCTCCAAGGTCACTCCAAGGGAAAATAAATATTTTGAACTGGAAACCTCCCTTCTTCACATCGGAAATGTAAAGAGAATCAAACCTTACGTCTGACCATCAGCTGGCCATGACCTTGACCGTTGTTTCCAAAGAAATTTCAAGGTGTAATCAAAACGCCGAAAACAATCTGCTATGGTGAAAATGTTCGAACGTTTATGAGGTTTGTGAAGATCACCCAATGGTAACCTTGACCGTGACCTTGACGATGACCTTGACTCAAAATTTACAAAGCAAGTCTCTCATTTTTATGCTGGTAATAAAAAAAGCAGGAAAGTTTACGTTTTCCATGTCCAGTACAAACATGGGAAGTTTCCTTAAGGAATCTTGAACTGACCTTGGAGGTTTTCTCCAAAGATCAGGGTTGCTTCTTGAGTGCGACGTTTGTGAATGCAGACAATGTGAACATTTGTGGTAATGGCGTCTTAAATGCTTTTTGCATTAAGCACAGAAATGCAGTAAATGTCTTTGGTACAACATATTGTAAATACACAAGGTACCTCTATTTACAATGAACAAGTTACTAAGTAGCACGTCTATATTGGAAGTACATGAATACAAATGTCATACAATTAGCTATATGACAAGTTGCCATACGAAAGAAAAACACAAAACCTCACGCATAAATATTTCGAAAACTGAAACAAAGTTTCAGGGTTTGGAGGGGACAAAATGATGTTGTCTTGAGAATGACCTTGACTACGAGTTTCAAGATCATTTCTAGGTCAAGTGAATATTTGCAATTGGAACCCACCTTGTTCATATCTGCATTGAAATAAATATCACTTTTTGCGACACAACCTTAAGCATGACCTTGACCATCGCACTCAATGCCATGCCAAGGTCAAATCAGTACATCGAAAACAATTTGCTCGTATACAAAACAATACACTCGTATATAAAACTTCCTACGTTTTCAATTCTCAGTATAAAAGTTGAATATTTCCTTTGACCTTGACCACAGTTAAGGTCATCATTAGGGTCACCTTTATGTGATCCCCACAAAGCTCACAGCTGTGTTGTCGAACATTTCTGTTAGAGCAAATTGTTCTAGATGTCGTAATTTGACCTTGAAATGGCCGTGAAGGCCGTAATCAAGGACACTGTCATTTCGCCCCCTAAGAACCCTTTTGTTTAAAACTTTTTCCTATAATGCACAGTTTTCTAAATATTTCGGTGCGGAGATTAAAATGGGACACCGTGTAGAGTCGTTATGGTGACCTTGTACTAATACTTTTTACGTCATTGCACATTGAGTTCTAGGTAGACATTGATTTATGGACATAGGCATCTGTACTTATGTCCCAAAAAAAAAATTATGGGGGCACTGGGCCCATATCAGAAAGTTTGTTGTAAGAAAAACGCCTCAAAAAATAAATTTACTCGTTACTAATAATACTTTCAAGTAGTATTCATAAACATTTAACATTATCAGGAGATACTGTAAAATACTGTAAATGACTAGCTATCTACAGGGTAAAACAGAAAAGCTATATGTTAAGTGTATACCTAGCTAATCTTGTGTCTAATTTTCTCTGCGTTATCCTGTATGTGTCCTTAACCTATTGAAAGAAGTTTGTACATTTTGCAATACTTGCTAAAATGACATACGAAGACGAATATTCAATCTCTTGCAAAATTCAACATCACACAGTGAAATAAAACAAGATCACTGTATCAAAGCCAGCTGATAATAATACGGTGGGTGCAATGAATGGTGGTGCAAATTGGTATCAAGCAGTCTAATAAAATTATATATTTCAGTTTAGTTGAAATGTTTGTGCAAAGTCACAAATCTTTGTTGCCATGAAAGGAAAACTTTTCATTCCTCATTCGTCAAGGTTTCCATATTCAATTTGTCTTGCCAAATTTTAGCAGGTTTCAAAATGTACCAGGAACCTCTAAATGCACAACTCAATAGAAAGTTAAACAAAAATGCACAAAGTTACACTTTCCTTCTGGATGAAGTCTGGATCTCCTTTTAGGCTAGAAAACTCAATTTATTGGAATGGGGCTAGCTGCAGGTGCCCTTGTTATGTTGAGTCTCTTGAGCGGCACATTTCTGTAGTCCCAGCCAAAATAAGACGCTCGCCTTGAGCTCACCTTTGGTTTCCTCGAACTGCTCGAGTCGCAAGCAGTTTGTTTCTGCCATTTGTATGGAATCGTAATGCCTAATCTCCTCTCGCAATCTCTAACGTACGCCTGAAACAAGCGTTATAGCCGATTATTTCAATAGCCAGGAAGAAATACACTGGCTTATTAAAAAGAAGTGCGTATTCACACCCTTAATGGCACACTAGGTTCCTGGAACGTCTGATATATGGAAGTCCCTGTAAAAATAAATGACACAACGGTTGTTTTGATTCCTGTGTTGTGTTCAAGAAAAAGATTACACTGGTCGGCACTCTGAAAATATTTGTCGCACTCGAATTTTTTGCGTCTACTGTGTTGTACTGAAACCTAATATGCAGTGTGTTTTTAGAGAAGGGAGAATATAAAATATGAAAATCTCAAATTATAAGCATCTAGTGGTGAATTTTTAAAAAATAACAGAAAATAACAAATCCACTTTCTTAGAAAATATACTTATTATTGTATAAAACGGACAATCAAATAATTTATTTGGCTGTCTTTTTTTTATTCTCCCGGAGCGGATTCACGTTTAATAGTCCAGCAGTGATCAGCCAGCATGTTTCGGGTCCATTTTCAACTATAGCGCTTTTCTATATGAGCAATTTGCTGGTAAAATCTTTCGCAGTGCTCGTCTGAAACTGCACTCAAATTGTCAGCGAATAATTCTACATGGAAGTGAAGAAAATGCAGCTTAAGTGACAAGGCCTTATAAGATTGGTAAAGTTCTTCAACTAGATCTTTGTAGTTGTCCGACTTTCTATTGCCTACATTTTTGAAGGCATCCCATGCCCTTTTTCTCTTCCTGCAAAGTCTAGTTTTAAAATGTTGGTCCACTAAAGGTTCTCGTATTTGAAGTTCCACGAAAATTCCTTCTTTAAGGCTCGCTTCACTTATACGCGGAAATTTTCGTCTCAAATAAAGGCATGGATTTCCTTCTCTAAGGTTAATGCAGTGATTATTGGACACGTACGAGAAGCAGCCATAGTCAAAGTCTACATGAAATCAAGATTGTTACAGTGACATTTTCTGCTGAATTTGTACGTGTCATATTTGGCTAGAATTTTCCTTAACAGCTCGACATATTACTTGGCGGGAATCAGAATCATAACTTTGGTTAGGTTGATACGGGTGTCCCAGAAGTCGACGTCAAGCCGAAACCGGGTGATAGGCAAAGTCATAACAGCTATCAGAAAAATATTTAAAAAAATTTTATGTATTTGTTTTGCAAATTATACGTCTTTGAAAAAGATATAGAAATTTCACACCCTACGGCAGTCTGTCAACTCCTGTTACTACAAATATTAACTTTTTTCGGATTATATTTTTACAATGTAATGATGAATAATGCATCTTCAAACTGGTGTCTCAACCTTACTGCCAACTTTTCTCGTTCAGGAAAAATTGCCACTTATTTTTCAACCAAGTATTCCAAAGTAAAACTTTGCTCAACTTTAACTGGCTGTACTGGAAAAAAATGTACTACGAGAGTTTGGCATGTAACCTTAAAAGTTGGCGCATTTAATAACGATTCAAAAATAGTATAACACTTAGAAGATTACTAGTTAACTTACGCACAATTTTTATTTGAAAAAAAACTGTTGAAAATTTTCCTAAATTTCCTAATTAAACAGCGATTATGGAAACGTACAAGGACCCTTAAGGATAACTGTTTGCACAACAGTGGACATCAAAATGCTGCTGATGATGACTTACCTTTACAGCAAATGCTCAAACTGTTTTTCTTCAGCCGCAATACACGCTCGGCATTTTCTTAAAAAAGATCGGGTTATTAATAGAGCGAATCCACGGTTATTAACAAACTCAGCTGCTTCCAATAGTCTTTACCGTAGCTCAGCTACATTTTGAATCGGCTTGAAATACACTTTTTCTTTTACAGTTCCCCAGTAAAAAAATCTAAAGGATTCAAATCAGGTGATCGGGCTGGCCAGGGTATTGTACCAGACCGCCTTATCCATCTGCCTCGAAAGTTTTGAGAGTGCATAGTGCGCTGGGCAGCCATCATGCTGAAACCTCATGTCCCTGTAAATACTCAGTGGCACGTCCACCAATAAATTTTGTACATGATTTTTCAAAAAATCCAAATAAACTTCAGCAGTCAAAGTCTCTGGGAACTCAAACGGACCGATTATTTTACCATTTAAAATTCCTGTCCAGTGGTTTATCTTGAAGCGATATTGAGATTTATCTTCTCTCATCAAATGTGGGTTTGCTACGTGCCACTCGTGTAAGTTATGCAGGTTCATGTACCCATCTTTCTTAAATGTGGTCTCATCCGACCATAAAATTTTTTCAAAGAACTGTGGATCTTTCTTGGGTCTTTCTAACATTGTGCGACAAAAAGCAACACGGGGCTCATAATCCCGGGGCAGGAGAGGTTGAACACGCTGTATGTGGTATGGATGAAGCACATTACTTCCTTGCTATTGCACACTTTGATACCGATCAGTACTCCTTCGTTTACTGCGCATCTTTACATGTTCGTGCTTGTTGATTTCGTACTGTTACTAATTTTAGATTCGTGAACTGGACTGTTGATCGCTTGTGATTTGGATTTGTACTGTTTAATTGCCCTTCAAAACAACATTTGCTTTCCTTAGACTATCTTTGATAGTGTGAGTGTGCAGTGCCGCTATGTCCGTGTACACCGTACAAGAATATGCTAACATGCACCTCATTTATGGGGAATGCAGATGCAACGCTAGTGCTGCAGCGAGACTTTACTGTGAGAGGTACCCGAATGCAGCTTGTCATCCAGATCATCGAGTGTTCACAAATGTGCACCGCCTCTGTTCTCAACTACCAAACCAATCACACGGTGGGGGAAGATCTTTCTTTCCTTACGAAGACGTGGTGCTAGGAGCTGTCGAAGAAGACCCGAGTACTTCAGTGCGTGCAATAGAACTAAAAACAGGTGTGCCCAAAAGTACAGCCCATAGAATCTTGCAAAAAAATGTGCTCCATTCATACTACGTACTGCGAGTTCAAGCTCTTCTGCCCCGGGATTATGAGCCACGAGTTGCTTTTTGTCGCACAATGTTAGAAAGACACAGGGAAGATCCACGGTTCTTTGAAAAAATTTTATGGTCAGTTGAGACCACATTTAAGAAAGATGGGTACATGAACCTGCATAACTTACACGAGTGGCATGTAGCAAACCCACATTTGATGAGAGAAGATCAATCTCAATATCGTTTCAAGATAAACCATTGGACAGGAATTTTAAATGGTAAAATAATCGGTCCGTTTGAGTTCCCAGAGACTTTGACTGCTGAGGTTTATTTAGGTTTTTTGCAAAATCATTTAGAAAATTTATTGGAGGACGTGCCACTGAGTATTTACAGGGACAGGTGGTCTCAGCATGATGGCTGCCCAGCGCACTATGCACTCTCAGTGAGAGAGTATCTCGATCAAAACTTTCCAGGCAGATGGATAATGCGGTCTGGTACAATACCGTGGCCAGCCCGGTCACCAGATTTGAATCCGTTAGATTTTTTTTACTGGGGAACCATAAAAGAAAAAGTGTATTTCAAGCCGATTCAAAATGTAGCTGAGCTACGGCAAAGACTATTGGAAGCAGCTGAGTTTGTTATTAACCGTGGATTCGCTCGTTTAATAACCCGATCTTTTTTAAGAATATGTCGATCGTGTATTGCGGCTGAAGGAAAACAGTTTGAGCATTTGCTGTAAAGGTAAATCATCATCAGCAGCATTTTGACGCCCACTGTTGTGCAAACAGTTATCCTTAAGGGTCCTTGTGCATTTTCATAATCGCTGTTTAATTAGGAAATTTTGAAAAAATTTCATCAGTTTTTCTTCAAATAAAAATTGTGCATAAGTTAACGAGTAATCTTCTAAGTGTTATACCATTTTGGAATCCTTATTAAATGCGCCAACTTTTAAGGTTACTTGTCAAACTCTCGTAGTACATTTTTTTCCAGTACAGCCAGTTAATGTTGAGCAAAGTTTTACTTTGGAATACTTGGTTGGGAAATAAGTGGCAATTTTTCCTGAACGAGAAAAGTTAGCAGTAAGGTTGAGACACCAGTTTGAAGATGCATTATTCATCATTACACTGTAAAAATAAAATCCAAAAAAAGTTAATATTTGTAGTAACAGGAGTTGGCAGACTGCCGTAGGGTGTGAAATTTCTATATTTTTTTCAAAGACCTATAATTTTAAAAACACATACATAAAATTTTTTCAAATATTTTTCTGATAGCTGTTATGAATTTGCCTATCACCCGGTTTCGGCTTGACGTCGACTTCTGGGACACCCTGTATTGCCTTAACATTGAGTTTCAGCTGCAGTAAAAAAAATAAAACCAAAATACTTATTGAAGGTTTTACATTTTGCACTGGTGTAGGAAGTAAAAATGAATTAGGAACTGTTTTATTTTCAGTACGATACTACCAACCTTCATGTACCTACTATTTCACTATGTCGATTTCCTAACACACTGAATACTAAATTAAAATGAGCTTCTTACCTGGAAGCTGTCACAGTAACATTTTCCTTTCGGGCAACTGCTGTAATCGACCAAGCACGTACGATGGTACCTGCTGTAATCGTAGCTGCATTTTGAAAAAACGCTCGTATCCTTTCTGAAAACGGTGCATAGTTTCTTCTGGAACGGCAGGTTACGCAACTCGGTCAGCTTGATTTTCTTCTCGCACTCGGCATTCTTCCCTACACACCACGATATTCTGAACGGAGACATCTCCTTATTCGTCACGACCTAGGATAAAAAATAATGATGTCAAAGTCAGTAGATAACAGTTAACCATTCTCTAAATACGAGGAAAAGATTAAGAATCTTCGAACTGTCTGCACTTAGCTCTTGATTAACCAGTGCAGAAATTTCAGAACAAGATACTATCTCATAGCTCTAATGAACTAATCCAAACACTTGAACTTAAGGCGGCTCCGACGCAGTGAGTTTCAGGCCATTTACAAGGGTTTAGCTGCTTCGGAATTGACGCTCCATTTTTCTATATATTTGAATAAAATTTATACAGTATGTTAAGAAGACAATTGTCCAGGGTGCTATAGAGCCACTTTTCTAAAAAAAATTTTTTTTCAGGAGTTATGGTGGGTGGAAGTGCAGATAATTGTTGTTCGACTTCTCGATTTTTTTAAAAATAACCCAGAGGAAAAAACGAAAAAGTGGCTCTATAGCACCCTGTGGAGTCTTGTTTTTAGTGCACTGTGAAAATTTCATTGAAAAATATTCAAAAATGAAGCGTCAATTTTGAAGCGCGAAAACCTCTGCAAATAGGCTTTTACACGAATTTTATCCACTATCTCGTGCTGCCAGTCGAAGCAACGCGGCGGTGTGTACGGACTAAGAAAGGACGTATTCAGATAATTTGTTGTCCCAAGTTAAACAGTAGCAGTTTTAACGTCGGTCGTTCGAGATAAACATCGGACCATTAAGTGATATTTTTAATAGACTTCAATGAAAGAGGGGAAAATTTTAATCGATTTTGATCATTTCTTTTTATACAATAGGCCATGCTTCAGAGGTGATACCACAAAAAATCATTTTTGTTCAATCACCCCAATATGGATATCAAATGGAAGCACTTGTACAAAACAGTAATACGAAAACAGTTTCAAATCAAGATGGCGGCCGTTACAAAATGGCGGATAACATACTTGCTAATATCTCAAATAAGAGTCGTCGCCTTGTAGAATACAGTACTTCACTAAAAATTTGATTCCAAGATTGCCGCCGTTTCGAAATTGCGAGTTACATATTTTTGTACAAAACCCCCAATATACATATCAAATGAAAAGACTTGACATGTGTGGTAAAATACAGAACTTTGTGACCAAAAGTTTCCAGGTGGTTCCAGGGTCATTGGAGGCGGTAATCTTTTTAGTTAAAAATAATAATTATAGTGAACGCATTTACCACAAATAAAATGTCACTTGCTGTTTAGCTTTAACCTTATGGAGTATCGTAAAATAAACTTAACACGTCATGAGATATAATGCGTGTGTCGCAGCTCATTTGGCGCTTTGGGCCTCGTGACACACATGATATGTCTCACTGCTGGCAGTTATATTTGGCCGCGTAACGTAAGACGTGTGCCATGCTGATGTGATTTTCTTACGGGAACCAAGAGTCCGTGGCCTGAGGGACCAAATTATACTGAATTGGAAATGAAAACATTAAAAAACACGTTGTTTATAGAGTTTTACAAAAAGAGGATATTCTACAAATCTAAAACAAAAAGCAAATCTTATAAAATAATCAGACATTCTCATTCAAAAATGAACAAAGTAATTTCACAGCAAATCAGTAAGTTATGGTAAATGTCGATATTCTAACGAACACAAATATGGAGGAACTCTTATAAACTAAACAGATTGACAAAGTCTTATGCAGGAATAAACAAAATACCGGTATAAATAAACAGTAATACAGATAAATATGGAATTACTACAACTACTATCTGATTCACTACCACTTGGAGAATACGCATCAGATAAGTATACATCCCCACATAACTCAGTACTGCCACTCTCTTCATCCGATAGTATTTCATTACACAATTGTTCAAGCCTTTTTTGCTCCGCTTCGTAATGCGACATCACAAATTTGGTATTCAATGATTTATAAACAGTAAAGCAATTTGGACAAGATGACGTACAATACCAACAACGCTTCAAAAATAAATGACACGAAACAGTGCTCAACGCGCGACATGATGCAAGTCTTGACTTGCAAAAAACGCGACGCGACTTATGTGCCACGCGACCCGACTGGTCTGTGGGCCACGCGACATACAATTAGTACCTCAGAAAAAAAAATCAAAAAAGGGGAAAAATCATAGGATTTGAGAAAAAAGTCAAGTCAAAATATTAAACCGAAACTTAAAACAAGCTAATTTGACAATAATAACAGTTTGGCCCAGTGGACTGGATTTTCAGATTCTACTGTGGCGCTTAACGTGTCAATGTGACATTTCAATATTCGCCATCTAACAGACTAGATAAAGCTAGCCGATGCTACGTGCTATTGAGCCTGACGATTGACTTTTATTTAAATAAACAATATATACATAATATACAATAAATAGTGAACATCTGGTACTAGTACCAAAATGGAAGAGATTAGCATAACATCTCGCACATCGCTGCTAAAGCGAGATCTGCACACCGCATTTGCCGACACGAAGGGGTTAGTAACGGAGTACAATGTAATATGCTAATCTCTTCCATTTTGGTACCCGAGTACAGCAAAAATAGCCAATTCTCAAGAACTCTTTTTCTTGTTCAAACGGTTCTCTTGTGCCTTCAAGATCACATCGGGATCGCGGATTGGCATATTTCTGCTTTTTCTGGGATCGACCAGTTCTGGGAGCAAGCAGTTCATGTAGAAGAATTTCAATTTCTCTTCCATTTCATTTTTCCCGAAAACGTCATCCTTTCGAATGACGTCTATTTTCAAACCATACGGGGTCCAAACACCAAGCACACAGTACTCTCTTTGTGCAACGTGTAGCTGCCCTTGAATTTGGTAATACCACTTATGTTTTTTATTTATTTCATCGTTTATCCAAAACGTAATTTTTTTGTTCAGAATGCCCTCTTCAGGGGTCATACCATGGACATTTAATTTCTAGCAGACCTTTTACGCCTATCAAACCATCTGGCGATGCTGCCAGAAATGGATGGGTCCTATCAATAAACAACCCGCAAGATTGTACTTCTGATTGCGAATATGATTTCTCTATTTCTGATTTTGCCACGCTTTCATGCTTTTTTCCATAGTCACATGCATTGCTAAAGAATTCGGTTGGGTATATTATGGCGTTTACTAGAGCTCTGCAACTTGTTGTATCTCTTCTTCTACAAACCTCACCAAACCGAGACGCAGTCAACCTCATTCTTCGACGAAGACGCCACAAGTTGCAATCTTGAGATTTTGTGGCTTGCTCGATCTGGGAAATTTTGGAGTCGGTTTTTGCAAGTTATTTCAAGAATTCTACCTTGGCAGCCTCTATATCTTCGTTGCTCATGTCAGGCTTCTCACAGAATTCCCCATAGGATGCGTTCTCTTTAGTATCACTATCTCTGATTTTAATTTTCCTTGGTTTCAGCTTCCTTTTCAGATTTTTGTGCGCTCTCCTTTCTTCAACTTTAGCAATCAAAGAGGTTGGACTGAAACTAGGGAGTAGCCGCTTTTGGATCACACAAACAGGTCGCTGTGTATTGTGGCTCACTACGGCTGCAGCACATCTTCCTTGGTAGGATCTCTTCTTGCAATAATTAATCCGTTTACCCCCAATGAATTTAGCTATGATTGAGTTAAACTGCTCTACAATACTATTATCGACGTCATGAAGTAAACTTACTGCATTTTTAATCAGAATTGCCAGAAATGATATCAGCCTCTGGTGCAAATCTAAAAAAAAAAAGGGTATACACACCTGAATTTGAAGATCCATGCCATCTGTCTCTGTTAGAGAATGCATATGCGAAACCTTGCTGTCATTTTTAAGCTAAAATAACATATAAAATATAGTTATAATAGTAACTACGTATAGTCTAATTTATTGGCAAAATGAATGCTAAAATTCATAATTGTTTTGGTACCTACTTTTCTATCTGGAAAACGTTTTTTTTTCCTGTGCGTATTTAAATGCGGCTTCTTCGAGACGCCACGTTTATTTCTCTTATTGTTCATTTTTGATACCTTGATAAGAAAGACACTCAACAATAACAGCACAACAATAACAACACAACAATAACAACACGATAATACAACAATACAATAACGGTAATAAAAGTAATAAGGGCTGAGTATACTATGCGCCAAAATAGGGAAACAGTCGTACGCTAGATCGTATATCCAAATCAAATCCGACTCTGTGCAATATGCAAATTCAACCAGGCACGCGAACAGCACACCTCTGCGTATTACCATCCTTTTCTAACGTAGAGCGCTTGCCTTGTCACAACGCCGTCCTACTAGCGTTTCCCTATCACCCCCCCGATTCCCCTCAGAAACTCTGCTTGACTGTGAGAGCGCCGTTAATCCACCTATAGCGGTTATATGTGTCTTTCCTTTATTTCTAGAAATACAATGACGATATTCATTGCTTATTTTTTAACTTCAAATAACCAACCTTTCCTTGTTTTGTAGTCATATCATCCATCATGTTCGAGTTGTAATTCCCGCATAACCCGCAGAGCTTGTTCTTGTACGAGGACGGTACCGTGACGTCAACCAAACTCCTTCCATTCCAAAAGATCCTCACTCCATTGTTCAATATCAACTCAACATTCTCCCGCCTTTTCTCCACCCTAAACTTTCCATCTTCTTTGAAAGGAGCGTTTATTTTCCTTCCGTTGTACTTTATCCGTCCTCTCTGCTGGAGATTCATTCTTACGTCGCCGAACCTGATAGCTACCCGTTTGGTGAAGAAAGAGGTGTATCCTCCCGTTTTCGAGTACAACGTTGGAATGTTCCTCACCGAGTTCGCCACTCTGATCGAGAAAGTATTGTTGGTGCAGTCGGCGATCATCTGGTACTTGCCGATGCCGTTAAGGTCGTACATTCTGCCGTCGAAGGTTTTGTAATGCAGGTTGCCGTAAACCATGCAGTTGCTTACAACTGAAATGAAAAAAAACCTGTTAAGACTGGTTATTTTCCTGGCATATTGAAACTCGCTACGATAACACCTATACTACAACTATTTAAAACTGTAATGACTCATACGCGTGATCAACACGTGATCAGAGCTCGATCCCGGCTTCCTTCCAGTACAGCCGTATAGCGTACGACATATGTCGTTTCTGTGGCTTTGCGGTGGTCAACAGCACAGACAGAGATGGAAATAATGGCTGATTGTTCTCCGCCGGTAGAACCAATGAAATCAAAGACGCGCCTCGACCGGCAGACTCATAGGCGTCGGCAACGCATTGGAACGTGTTTCGTTGAGCGATCGCAAATTGTGTGTTTTTATAAGAATTGTTGTGTGATTGTTATTGTTGTGGTTTTTGTGGTTACTGTTTTGGTTATACTTAACCATGGAGAGTACAAATGGCACGAGTGGAAGTACTGAAAGCCAGGGAACAAGTAGACGGCTTCGTAAAGCACTGAAGAGGGACGCGAAAGAAATCGTGCTCAACGTGTTCAATTATTATCTGAACAGAACTATGTCGCAGGGAGATGCACTCTCGCGTTGTAAAAGTATGACAGGCGTTCCAGAGTGGACCATTCGCAGGGTGGTGCATGAAAAGAAGAAAACTGGAGCTACTACTGATCCAAAGTTTAATTTGAAGGGACGATAGGCCGTTAAATTGAATGACGATAGCAAAATGACGTTAAGGCGAACCGTACATTCATTCTTCTTTAGGAATGAGATACCAACCCTCAAGGCTGTACATGCAGCGATCAAGGAAAATGAAATTATACCCCAAGTGAGCGTCGAGGTAATGAGGAAATTCCTGCACGAAATTATTTTCGTTACGAAACGCGTAATCGGAAGTCAGTACTGATAGAGAGACCTGAAATAGTCGCCTGGCGTCGAAAATACCTACGCGAAATGATTGAATATATTCGACAAAGCAGAAAAATCTATTATTTGGACGAGACATGGGTAAATGCAGGTCACACAGTTAAAAAAACCTGGATAGACAAAAACGTAGTGAGTAACCGACAAGCAAGCATTGAAGGTTTGTCAACAGGTCTTCGTGGACCACCAGGGAAAGGTCAAAGATTGATCGTAACTCATATTGGTAGCGATAGTGGCTTTTTAGAAGAGTGTGACTTGATTTTCGTCTCTAAGAAAGGAGGTGATTACCATGACGAAATGAATGCCAGCTGCTTCGGGAGCTGGTTTCAAGGGGTGCTTCAGCGAGTTGAGCCCAACTCTGTGATCGTCATGGATAATGCTTCCTACCATAGTCGTCGAGCCGAACGTGTACCGACTATGGGATCTCGAAGAAGTGACATGCAGCAATGGTTGCGCGAAAAAGGAATCCGTTTGACGATTCATGTGTGAAAGCGGAATTGTATGAAAAAATTAAACAGCACAAACCTGCGAACATTAGTTACGTGACTGATGAGATGGCCCGTCAATGTGGTGTCACTGTGCTGCGGTTACCGCCCTACCACTGTGAACTGAACCCAATAGAGCTCATCTGGGCTCAAGTGAAGGGTTATATTGCGTGTCATAACACAACCTTCAAATTACCAGACGTTAAGGTTTTACTTGAGACTTCCATACAGCTAGTAACGCCCGAAGCTTGGCAGAATGCTATCTGTCGTGTTGTGAAGGAAGAAACAAAAATGTGGCAGCTTGACCACCACATCGACACCATCATAGAGCCAGTTATAGTCAATTTCAACGAGGAAAGCGATAGCGAAAGTTTATTACTGTCAGATGTAAGTGGAAGCGACGATGAATAAAGGTAATTCCCAAATGTTTGACTTACAATATGTTTCAAACCACTCTTTATTAAGCATGTGACAAATCTAGTTCACCCATGTTAAACATTCATACCCCGCCTATGAACAGCCGACTACTGGTAGTTAAGTGATGTTCACGTGAACATCGATGAGTCATTACAGTTTTGGATAGTTATAGTATATATTTAAAAAAATAACATGATAACGATGATCAACTGTCGCCAAACCGACTATATTAAGCGGCGATCGATTGTTTCGATTGGTAGTAAAATTGGTAGAGGTTCGGAAATTGTATGACGTCGACGCGGTTTATCCGGTTTTTTAGGAGGTTCGCGGTACGTTCGGAAGGAAAGAGGTACCGTTTCGGAAACTAGAAACTCGGCGCTTTACGGGCGGGCGAGAGCCGTCGCGGCGAGAGGAACGGATCGGATCGAAAACGGCCGGTAAAGTCGAAAAATAGGTGGTTTTTCGCGCCGTCGAGACGTTTACCCATCGGCCGCGTCGCCGTTTATCGAAATATCGACTCGAGATCGGTTTCGTTCGATAGCTAAACGAAGAGAGACGGGTCTGAGCTTGAATCTGTTCGGTTACGCGTCTCGGTTTTTTTTTCTAGAAATTTTCGAAAAAAAAACGACAAAAATGACGAATCGCCCGGGAAACTCCGATATCTCCCTTACGCCGAAGAGAAAAGGAATTTCGCGCGCCGCGTTTCGTACATCTCGGCGAGCGCTACAAATTACGCGGAGAGACGTTTTTTCGTTTACGGTCCCCGTTTCGAATAAACGAACCTCGAACGTCGTCAAGAACGACTTATTTGCGTATAAAGCGCGCTGCTTCGCCGTCCATCAGCCATCTACTCCGACGATAACAAAGATACGGACCTGGCGACTTTTGTACGAGAAAGCCCATACTTCGGACTCTCAAATAATACTATTTTCATCGTCATTATTCGTTTACCTTTAAAAGTTACGATTTTTTAAAAATTCCTCGACAATACGCTACATTTCGACGCGTGAAAATGTCATTTTGTCATCCGGCTCTGTCTTCGCCTATTACTAGCGTACGTGAGCGAGTAAAAATTATACAGCTATCGAAAAATAACGATAATGAGTTGACGAAACGATTCTGGCCGTTAGAATTACCGTCAAATTTCGAAAAAGTAAACTTTGAGCGCCTCAAAAGTACCGACGACAACCGTTTTTCGGCGTACTTTGTTTTCGTCGATACGGACCTGCGTTACGGAGCGACATGGCTACGATTTTTTTTCACAAAACGACAGACCAAAGTCTCTTGATTAAACCGGCATACTACACGTTACCCGATCGCATTTTTTAAACTCGGCAGATTACAAAAATCAAAGATATGCACATATTTTTAGTTTGAAATTTCAATTTTGACGATCGTATTAATTTAGGATCACGCCGAATACCATTGTCCTTTTTTACGCGTGAAAATAAACATTTTCGATAAGATTCAGAATTTCTATATTACATAGTCTAAGCGGACCGGACTATACCCATTAAAATAATATGAATCTAGTCGACTATATTGACGAGTGATCATTTGTTTTTATAGGTAGGTATTGGTGTCGAGTCTGGATCGGAGCGTTTGACGTCGACGCGGATTTTCCGTTTTTTTTTTCAGGCTCGCGAAACGTTTTCTACTATTATCGACGTGAGAGGAAGAAACGCGATTGAAAACGGCGGTCAAAGTCGAAAAAACGGTAGATTTTCGCGTGGTACGGAAACATTTTTATCAGTCGTTTCGCCGTTTATCAAAATATCGACTCGAGATCAGTCTCGTTCGATAGTTAAATGGGGAGAGCGTTCTATAGGGTTGAATTTTTTCGATTCCGCGTCTTGTTTTTTTTTTTCTAGAAATTTTCAAAGAAAATGCGAGAAAAATGGCAAATTGCGGTAAAAACTCCGATACCTCCTGTATGCCGAAGAGAAAAGGAATTTCGCACGCCGCGTTTTGTACATCTTGACGAGAACTATAAATTACGCGGAGAGAGTCTTTTCTGTTTAGGGTACCCGTTTCGAATCGACTATATTAAGCGGTTTTTTGTTTTTCTTTTCATTTCCCCTCAACAACCTGGATCGGGGCGTTTAGACGTCGGCGCGGTTTTTCCGGGTTTTTTTACGTGTTCATGAAAGTTTCTAACAGGAAAACGATACCATTTCAGAAACTAGATCGGCGCTTTATGGGCAAGTAAGAGTCGCCGAGATACGAGGACGAAGAACGTTTTAAAACGGCTGTTGAAGTCGAAAAAGTGGTAGATTTTCGTGCTGTTCCATATTCTGTTCCTATCTCTTCCAAAGATAACGGAGATACGGGCCTGGCAACTTTTGCATAAGAAAGCAAATACTTCGGACTCCAGTATGAAAGTATTTTCATCTCTTTATTCCCTTTCGTTGAAAGGTTTCGATTTTTCTAAATTCCACTGCTATATGCTACTTTTCGATACATGACAGTCACCATGTTTCCGGCTTTGTCCTGGGCTTATTATATGTATGCAAGTTAAAAATTATATAGCGATTGTTAAATAAACATTTTGAGCGTAGACCAAAGTCAATATACAAGATGTTGACCAATCGCATTTTAAAAATTCGGAAGATTAAAAAATTCCAAGTTATGCAGTTATATCTTGAGTCTGACAGCTGCTACGACTTATATTCAGATCTTATTAAATAGCATTGTTCTTTTTTGGGCATGGAAATAAACATTTTTGAATAGATTTCGAATTTATATATTCTATATTCTAAATCTACCGGGCTATAATAATAACAACTAAGCACTATTTGCGCATGCGATTAAGGAACACGTCTAAATTGCTATGGAAATCTATGTATCATAGGCTATATAATTTTGCTGAAAAATCCGGTATCTGGGATTCTATGATGAAAATATTAACAGGAAGCAACTTGTACAAGTCTTAAGTGCATGGAGTATATAACGATCATCGAATACTCTTTGTTATAACGAGCTATTCGCAAGTATTGTCAATATTTAATAATAATAGTAATTAAAATCTTTTTATTTGTAATAAGATTACGGGAAATTTAGGTACTACATCTATTCTACCATCTAACCGCTTGGTCGCCAGATATTTCATCTGTGTGAGCTAATAAAAAATTATAAAAGCAGTACCTCTGCTTTGCAATGAATCTGGAAGCATAACACTTCAAAGAACCACGCAATTTACTTATGGAAATCGGACTTCCTTAAATTGGTTAAAATTCTTGTATGTTGAATATCTCACGCTCCTGAACAAATGTCTCAACGGGCATAACCTTCTAAACCCTAAGGGTTGTGAGATAAAAATAGTTTAATTTGAGTATCTTGGATTATGAAGTACATAGCACATTCACCATTTTCTGAGGTCAAGTCAACCTTCGACCAAGGATGATGGGGAACTCGAAAAAGATACAAAACCAGGTTTAGAAGTGACCGACATCAATTTGTATGGCACGAAACGTACAAAATAACCTACCGGATATTGGAATGTTTTCCGCGATCATGACAAATGTCATGATCACGCTGTGAAATTGAATATTTTGGGATACTAAATTACGCTACAATATATTTTAATCTTCAGAATATTTTCCGTTGAATCAATTGAATTTCTGATATGTTGCATATCTCATCGTGCTGAACAAATGTCTCACTGGGCATAACCTCCCAAACCCTAAGGATTGTTAGATAAAAATGGTTGAATGTTAAATTATAAAGTACATGACACATTCACCATTTTTTGAGGTCAAGTACACCGTCGATTAGAGTTGATCGGGAACTCGAAAAAGATGCAAAAACGAGGTTTAGAAATAACTTTACATCAATCTTTATGGCACAACAAAATAGGCTACTAAATGACAATGGGCACATTCACGAGATGATTATTTTGCGATTTAATTTTGAGCAAAGATTTTACAAAATGGCATTTAGAATTGATTAGCGTATTCTCCAAGATGTCAAACCATATGCTATATTTGGACGTTCACACATAATTGTATTGACCATATTGACAGCACTTTCTTTAGTTGATTTGTAAACTTTATGCCTAGTAGTTTTTGTTTTTGTCTAAAATTCACTTAATCATTATGCGTTGATACCTAAATTCTCCAACTTATTCCCTGTCGCAATTATTACATTATATACCTAGTTTGAGAAGAGAATCAGGATATACTGTGTGGACCAGTAATGGCCATATCAGACGAGGTTTGTATAGAATTTTTTTCATTACAAAGACTATAGCTTTAAAGGCATTACTTACTTTCGACACATTTTTTGCAGCACTCTCCTAGCGTAGCTACAGGCCTCGTTCCATCTGGACATGTGATGTTGCTGCACTTGGTGATGGCACACCTCGCTTGACCTTCTCGGCATACGCAAGACTCGCACTGGTTCACCTTCCACTGTTGTCCCTCCTATTGAAAATACTATTAATCTTCGGTTACCATCGTTGATAGCTTGATTAAAAAAGATATCCGTCGATTCCGAAAGGAATGAATGGCGGTTGGGGTGCGGAAAACAGCGTTAATGCTTTCTTATTATAATAATAAAATAAGGAAGTAATTTATTATTATATGTGTCTTTCAGCTTCAAATGAAATCTAAACAACACTGTTGCTGCACCACCCAATTTCTGCAGTACAAGTTTCGCTTATGGACAAACGTTAAAAGTACCTAGGATGCATCATTATTTCTTTTTGGATTCAATATTATTTAACTTGCCTGATACGTGTTGCCACGATGCATACAGTGGTTTTTGCCATCTGGAGCTTCACACTTTTTGCAGCAATTTCCTTTTTCGACTTTCTGATCCTCGACTGGACATTGCAGAACAGGGCAAGTTGGCCGATGACAGACGGACGTTGAGTTTTGGCAGACGCAACTAGTGCAGTTTTCTTCAAGGCTCGATACCTGACCATCTCTGGAAGAAAATTTGTAATGAAACTCATACACTATAAGTGGAAATGATAATACGTAGTCGTCGGTTCATATATCTGTTGGTTTGTCTTGTAATCCTTGGCCTCTCTATGACCTGGAAAGTACTGCTCCGAATTGAATGGAAAAGGCAAACAACGAAAAAAGAAATCGCTTAAATATTTTGACGTTCCCCGGGATCCTGATCGTTTTTGAAAATAGAAATGAGGGGTAAAAATTGAGGAGTGGGGGAGGGATATCTAAATTGTTCGACGTTTGCCCATTAGCTATATTTCATACCTTTGTCTTTAAGACATCAAATGGTAAAAAAGTGGTGCAATACAATGTAATAATGGCCTTCTTAAATGAGGTAATTATAGCATATTTTGACTACTAACTCTAGTATTCGATTTTACTCCCAGCTCTTTGTCCATAATTTTCTTGAAACGACGCTATTTATTTTGGTAGAAATTACTGCGTCTGTAAAAGTCATTATTAGCGAAAATACCAATAACAGGCTGCTACACTTATCGTCAAATCACTGCATTCCTTGATCTTATATCCCATATCACTAATCAATACTGCACTTCCACGTAATTTTAAAAAAGTTGCTGATATTTGAATATATGGTGAATGCGTGATGCTCTATGGCACTCGTCAACAGGTGCTTTTTCCACCAATTATATTTGTTATTTTGAACGTTTCTATTTCTGTAAAGAAAAGTGCAACTTTCAGGACACCTTATACGCTATCAATTCCAAATACAGGCCTATATTTTTTCTTGGTTTATATCAAATATACACATCTCCAGAAATAGCAATAACGAAACAGTAATAACACTGATCAACAACCAAAAAATATCCTAAATAAAATCAACAAAATATTACTATTTGTAATGTGCTAAAACCGGAATGAAACTTATTTTTTCAATATTAGTTCAAGTTTTAGAGATACGGTAATTATATGTATTCCTGCTGTGACAGTGTTAATATACTGTAATTCACAAGAATGCACGTGCTACATTTTTATATTGGCAAGGAAAGATGATGTAATCGGCATGATTGTGTTACGTTATACATACGTGTATATTATATTGTTTTATATTAGCCATTTTTTCCTCAGTTGGCTGACAGCGTTCATGCAAGATGTCTCGAAAGTGTGTAAACAATCCAGTTCAGTTTTGTTACGTGTGTGGTGATGTGACTTTTGCGTCTCAGAGACGGTCTACTACTCCACTAATAACAAAGGCATATCAGCTTTATTTCGGTTGTAAACAGGTGATCAAGACAAACAGTGGGCACCCCACATCTGCTGTAATACATGTGCTTCAAGTCTGAGGAGCTGGTTAAATGGCAAAAAATGGTCTATGCGCTTTGCTGTCCCAATGGTTTGGAGAGAGCCTACAAATCATATTAATGATTGTTACTTTTGCATGGTACCTTGTGTTGGACAAGCCACAGGTATGTCCAAGAAAAAAAAATCGGTTATTAACTACCCAAACATACCATCTGCGATGAGACCTGTTCCTCACAGTAACGAAAATCCTATTCCAAAACCCCCAGAATCCTACACTTGCGAATCAGAAAACGAATCAGATCATGGCGATCGAGTGATTCGTCAGGAAGAAGATATGCCATCAACGTCAAGAGATCCTGATTTTATACCGAGCACGTCATGCCACCAACCGCACAAAATAACACAGTCAGAATTAAATGATCTTGTAAGAGATTTAGAACTTAAAAAATGTAAGGCAGAGTTACTTGGATCAAGACTGCAACAGTGGAACTTGGTAGAAGACGATGTTTCGGTATGTGTTTTTCGTAAACGCCACAAAGACTTAGAACCATTTTTCAATATGGAGAATAACTTGGTTTTCTGCAGTAACATTAACGGCTTACTGGCGGCTTTAAATATAAACTATAACCCAGAAGAATGGAGATTGTTTATAGACAGTTCAACATTGAGTTTAAAGGCAGTGTTATTGCATATTGGAAATATTTTATCATCTCTTCCTGTAGGGTATGCAGTTCACATGAAAGAATCATATGGCAATATGAAGTACCTATTGACATGCATAAAATACGATGAGCACCAATGGCATATTTGTGGCGATTTGAAAGTTGTTGCACTTTTACTTGGGCTGCAGCTAGGCTACACAAAGTTTTGCTGTTTTTTGTGTGAATGGGACAGTCGGGCAAAGGCACTCCATTACACCAGACAAAACTGGCCTGTTCGTCAATTCCTAGAGCCAGATCAAAAAAATGTACAGCATATGCCATTAGTAGATTCGAAAAAATTTTTATTACCACTACTGCATATCAAGTTGGGCCTAATGAAAAACTTTGTCAAGGCATTAGATAGAGATGGGTCAGCTTTTCAATACTTGCGTCAGAAATGTCCAAGACTAAGTGAGGCAAAGGTTAAAGAAGGTATTTTTGTTGGGCCACAGATTCGAAATATTTTGAAAGATACACAGTTTGAAAACACTTTAACAGGTATTGAAAAAACTGCTTGGAATGATTTCCGTCTGGTGGTCACTAATTTCTTGGGAAATAGAAAAGCTGACAACTATAAAACCCTTGTCAAAAATATGCCGTCATCGTATCAAAAGATGGGCTGTAATATGTCTCTTAAGATACATTTCCTACACTCACACCTGGACTTTTTTCCTGACAATTGCGGAGCCGTAAGTGATGAGCACGGCGAACGTTTTCATCAGGATATTTCAACAATGGAAAAAAGGTGCCAGGGAAAGTGGAATCCTTCCATGCTTGCAGACTACTGTTGGACTCTTGGTAGAGATGCTCCAGAAACGATCCATAAAAGAACAGCAAAAAGACAGCGCATATAGTGATTCTTATAAGTATATGAATCTTGTTACTTTTTTAATATATCCTTAAAAATAAAAAGTTTTTTTTCTAAACCGCAACTAATTTTTTTATTTCATTGTCATTTTTGGATTCAGCGCCCCAAAATTAACAAAGAAGTGCACTTTTCCCACAAGATACAATTAAAAAACTAAAATTTGTTGTCCAGTGAATAAATCATTGGTTTTACCATTCATAGTACCACGTAAGTTTTAGTAGTCACATAAATGTTGGATGTAGACTCACCGAAGTACGGAGCTTTGCAGAAGACACGACTTCAAGACGCTGAACATCGCCCTTATGCCGACGCAGCTGGGGCAACATTCACCGGGCAAGTGGTGTTGCCTGTGTGGCGGACATTGCAGTACGGGACATGCCAGTTTGCTGCATGTCAGTGCGCCGGATTCGTCGCAGCGACATCTCAAACAAGGATCTGCTGGGAAGACGATCTCCCTGTCGCGGGAGGCCACTTGGCCATTTACGCTGCAACCTGAAAATGAATGAGAAAAATTTTGCTTTCACTCGTCAGCTGGGGGACCCGTACCATTGATACTGATAGATACGTCATAAAATTGCAAAATTAGGACCGCCTTGCAGACAGTTTCATCATTTTTTAATAGTCTTTTTGTTGATCCATCTGCTCACTGAAGGCAGGAGTCCTATTCGTTAAATTAACTTTTAATGACATTCATGGAAATGAGATTATTGCTACATCCTCTCGTTCATAGTCAAAGATTGTATTAAAGATATACAGTGGACCTCCGGTAATCCGGGAGCGTTATCAAGAAGCAACAACGCTTTTTGAGGAAAATTATGATCTTTTAACCATTTTCTAACTTCGGGTACGAAGCATTCATCAAAACACTTTTTGAAAAGGTCTTTTGTCATCCATGCACTTTGTTGTCCGTAAGACTGTACAGGTAAATCAATATTTTTGAATGCCCGTGGTTTATTAGATTTCCCAATGACCATCATCTTAAACGCTTGTGTACCCGCAGCGTTAGCACATGATAGTATGGTTACACACTCTTTACTTACTTTTCGTCCAGGTACGGATTTTTCGTTACAAGAAACGATAGTTTTGTTAGGCATCACACGCCAAAAAAGCCCTGATTCATCTGCATTGCACACCTGTGACGGGTCAAGATTTAAATCGTTCACCTTTTGCAAAAATCTTAATTTGAATGGGTCTATGCAGGTGGCATCGTTAGAAAGTTTCTCTCCCGTAATAGTCATTAAACGTATGCCATGACGACTTTTAAAACGTTCTAGTCATCTTTTGCTGGCCACAAAACCATCTTTTTTTGTTATTTCCTTATAAAAAAAACTTAGCTTTCATGGCCAACATGGGTCCTGAAATTGGTGCATGCCTATTTATTTCCTTAAGAAAGCACATGTACAGTACAAACCTTCTTCCACTTTTGGATATTCAGCTACTGCAAGTTTCATTGCGATTTAAGCGGTCTAAAATATCACATTTTTCTTTAATAGTCAATGTCAGTGTTTTCGCTTCTGAGTTTGCGATGACACTACTAGGTACTATACTTAATACACAATGAATAAATAGTAAACAATGAACGCACGCTAGGCCGTACCGCTATCACCAGTGGTCAAATTCAAACTAAGTAAAACAATGCTTACGCGTCGAGCACGATAGCGGTAGCGCGTACAAGTTGAAACCTGTTCAAACCTGCGTGATCTACATTAGCGAAGATTGTCAAATACGTATGTATCTAATATGTATTCAAAGACATGTCGGATTGCAGGGGGCGCCGGATTAGACAGGGGGCGGATTATCGGAGGTCCACTGTATATGTAATGTGTGAAACTTTCAATGCCATATCTAATTGTTGTGATACACATGCTGATATTTTGAACAGCATTCTGGAAGTAGCTAAAAATTACTTAGTTAATTTACATGTTTAGATGGAATCACCTGCTGTTTGCATGTTTTCTATTTTTGATTAATCTTGGGATTGTCCTGTAAATGGTTTCTTTAACTGTTGGGGAATAAGCGCTACTTTATAGATCCTAATACTTCCTGCACAAAATCCATCAGTTTCGGTCACTAAATCTATATTTATGGAACTATTTGAAAATGCGGTAATTGACCATTGCATCATCATCGATTTTACGCGAAATTTCATTCATGTTCCCGAGTCTTAGTAAATCATCATATACATTAGACAAAAAAAAACCGTAATCGCCAGTATCTCGTTTAAGATTCTTACTGCTACTTGCTGCGAAAACTTTGTTCCGATATCATCTTAATCGCCATTTTATAGACCATAAAACGACGTAGATGTGTTATTAACGTAGTAGCTGCAACTGCATTCTATAGTTATAAATGAGAAAAAGGTAATAAAAACTTCTTAAATTCTTTGTTGCGTTGGATAGCAACGTTTTGTTTTATTTCTCCGCCTTGGAACGAGCTGGATCCGCTTCGCGTTTGTTCTTTTGGGGGACCGTTTTTGCACAGATTTATTTTGCTGGCAAGTTTCGCATCCAAAAGGAATAGTAATTTAATTTGGATTTCGCGCTATCAAACAAAACTCGATCCATAACCATTACTTTACGAAATCATGATGTTTGTGATAATCACGTGGAGACAGCTAAGTTTGTTGGTATATGCATAAACGGTTTTTTACACTTGGATGAACATACTCTTTTAGTTCAAATCAATTCTTTCTTTAATGCTAAATAGACCGAAGTAAAAAAGGCAATGAATGCACGCCTATAGATGAAAAGACGTCCCCCTAGAAATTGACTTTTGTCTGAGCGTTTCATTGGACCACCCTGTATATGTGACTTGAGGGAACGTTTTATCCCTCTTGTGATGTATTTGGTATATCACTACCTCTGAAGAAGACGCTAAATAAAGGTCAAAACGAACATTCGAAGTCTAATACCAGAGCTACTAGATTAAGAACTAACCTTTGTTGATAACTTGTATGAAAAAACTGGACCTTACTACAGTTTGAGCTAATATTAGTGCAAATTCTGCAGTATATTACGTTGTGCAGTGTGTATAAAAATATTCAAGTAGTTGCACGGTGAAAGGAAATTAAAAATTGATTATTTTTCATCGGTACTGCACACCCGGATTCCAGTGCAAGACTTCCGATCGAACACAAGCATCTAGACGTGAACAAGTTCTATAACCAAATGAGGTTGTTTAACCTGGGCTAATTTATAGCGCATGTTATTATGTTTTATATCGATGAAGGTCTGTTTAAATTCGATCTCTTATGGATAAATGCAGGACCGGAATCAAGACTTGAAGTATTTTTACAGTCCTGTTGTATTTGCGTCGTATGTGCCTTCTTTGATCTTGTAGCAGAAACCATGTTGGACCCGAAACTGACCCGGTACAACTAGGCTGATATTGTAAAGCTACGGGAGAGAAACGATAGTCAAATATAGAGGTGTCTCATTTATCTACAAATCTTTCTTAGCTAAGGCACATGATAAGCCTATATATCGACCCAACACAAGAAGCTTTCCAAAAACGAGTCATGAGAGGTTCAGAAAAATAACGAACAACTTTTTATAAAGCTCATTTCGTCCCTGTGGCACACCAGCGATTCGCGTATTCCACCCAACAACTATAAGAGCATTTACTAAGACTATATGTCGACCTAACATAGGAAGCTTTCCAAAAATGAGTCACTACAGGTTCAGAAAGATATCGAAAAATTTTTATAAAATATGAAGCTCAGTCTGACCATGTGGCACACCTGCGATTCGCGTATTCCATCCAATAAATATAAGAGCATTTACTAAGCCTATATGTCGACCTAACATAGGAAGCTTTCCAAAAATGAGTCACTACAGATTCAGAAAGATATCGAAGAATTTTTATAATATATAAAGCTCAGTCTGATAAAGTGGTACACCTGCGTTTCACGTATTCCACCCAACAACTATAAGAGCATTTACTAAGCCTATATGTTGACCTAACACAGGAAACTTTCCAAAAATGAGCCACTTCAGATTCAGAAAAATATCGAAGAATTTTTATAAAATATAAAGCTCAGTCTAACCACGTAGCACACATGCGATTCACGTATTCCACCCTAATACTATAAGAGTATTTACTAAGCCTATGTGTCGACCTAACACAGGAAGCTTTCCAAAAATGAGTCACTAGAGGTTCAGAAGGATATCGAAGAAGTTTTATGAAATATAAAGCTCAGTCTGACCACGTGGTACACCTGCGATTCACGTATTCCACCCTAATACTATAAGAGCATTTACTAAGCCTATATGTCGACATAACACAGGAAGCCTTCCAAAAATGAGTCACTACAGCATTCAGAACGAAATCGAAGAATCTTTATAAAATATAAAGCTCAGTCTGACCATGTGGCACACCTGCGATTCGCGTATTCCATCCGGCAACTATAAGAGCATTTACTAAGCCTATATGTCGACTTAATACAGGAAGCTTTCCAAAAATGAGTCACTACAGATTCAGAAAAATATCGAAGAATTTTTATAAAGTATAAAGCTCAGTCTGATAAAGTGGTACACCTGCGATTCACGTATTCCACCCAAAAACTATAAGAGCATTCGCTAAGCCTATTTATGTCGATTTAACACAGGAAGCTTTCCAAAAACGAGTCACGACAGATTCAGAAAAATATCGAAGAATTTTTATAAAATATAAAGCTCAGTCTGACCATGTGGCACACCTGCAATTCGCGTATTACATCCAACAAGTATAAGAGCATTTACTAAGTCTATATGTTGACCTAACACAGGAAGCTTCCCAAAAATGAGTCACTACAGATTCAGAAAAATATCGAAGAATTTTTATAAAGTATAAAGCTCAGTCTGATAAAGTGGTACACCTGCGATTCACGTATTCCACCCAAAAACTATAAGAGCATTCGCTAAGCCTATATGTCGATTTAACACAGGAAGCTTTCCAAAAACGAGTCACGACAGATTCAGAAAAATATCGAAGAATTTTTATAAAGTATAAAGCTCAGTCTCACCATGTGGCTCACCTGCGATTCGCATATTCCACCCAACAACTTTAAGAGCATTTACTAAGACTATATGTCGACCTAACACAAGAATCTTTCAAAAAATGAGTCACTACAGGTACAGACAAATATCGAAGAATTTTTATAAAATACAAAGCCCAATCTGACCATGTGGCACACCTGCGATTCGCGTATTGCACCCAACAACTATAAGAGCATTTGCTAAGCCTATATGTCGACCTAACACAGGAAGCTTTCCAAAAATGAGTCACTAAAGGTCCAGAAAAATATCGAAGAATTTTTATAAAGTATGAAGCCCAGTCTGACCATGCGGCCCACCTGTGATTCGCGTTTTGCACCCAACAACTATAAGAACATTTACTGAGCCTATATGTCGACCCAACACAGGAAGCTTTCCGAAAATGAGTCACTACAGGTTCAGAAAGATACCGAAGAATTTTTATAAAGCTAAGTCCGTCCCTGCGGCACACCTGCGATT